AGACTAATGGGAGTCATTTGGGCTAAGAGTAGGGGAAGTTCCCTCAAGAAAGAACGGTGTGTGTAATCTGGGGGTGGGAAGGAGAAGAGTGTGTTAGAATGGGACATGGTTAGAACTTAAAGAGTGGTAAAGATAAGGCCAGGAAAGGTGGTTGGGCTGATAAGGAACAGCGTGGTAAGCTGTTTTAAGGCATTTAGATTTTATCCTTAGAGCTTTGAGGAGCATCAGAATAGTAAAGCAGGGTAGTGGCTTGGTGGTGTAGGATTTTAGAAGAATCACCTGGCAACACCGTGGGGAATGGTTGGCAGGGGAAGGCTGGAGGCAGGGGGTGGCTTAGTGGGATGCTGCGATATTCTGGGCTGGAGGGGGTATGAATTCTGGTAGGGGTGATGGGCCAGGGAAAAACTCATTTTTCTTTGAAAAAGAATTTAAAAATAATAGATTTGATCAGTGAGTGCATGTGTGAGAGGGTTCGAGTGAGGAAGAGGCTAGAGAGTCTTGAAATAACACCAGGTCTCAGGCTTTGTGGTATGGTGATAAAAAGGAAGAGACTGGTGAGGAAAGACGACCACCAGTTGGTTGTTTTTGGGACACATCCATCTTGAAGAGGCTATGAAAAAGTCAAGTCTAAATGGACCAACTGTAGGTAGGTAGGTAGGTATATGGGTATGAAGCTCAGCCAAAGAGACTTGGTCTGAGGTGACTGCCAGAACGTGCTGAAAGAAAAGTGTGGCAACAGGAAAGATACCCAAGTTTCTCTCAGGATACTGCTTATTTTATTTTTTTTCAGCTTTATTGAAGCATAATTGACACGTTATAAGATATTTAAAGTGTTCATTGTGATGATTTGGTGTACCTGTATTTTGTGAAAGGATACCCTCCAGTAAATTAGTTAACACATCCATTACCTCATGTATTTACTTTTTTGTGGTGAAAACATTTAAATTCTACTTTCTGAGGAGATTTCCATGGTACATTAGAAGTATCATCAGCTCTAGTCACCATGTTCTACCTCAGAGCCTTAGACCTTCTTAGTCTCAAGATCCCACACAAGTGACACCATGTAGTATTTATTTCTCTGGCTGGCTAATTTCACTTAACATAATGCCCTCCAGGTTTATCCCTATTGTCACAAATGATAGGATTTCTTTCTTTTTTAAGGTTGAATAATATTCCAGTATATTTATATAAATATATAAATGCCACCTTTCCTTTTTTTAATCTGTCAATGGACACTTAGGTTGTTTCCATGCCTTGGCAATTATGAATAACGCTGCTGTGAACATGGTAGTACAGTTAATGATTTTGTTTTCTTCTGTTAAGGACCCAGTACCGGAAACATTACATCATAGGGTAGCTCTATTCTTAATTTCTTGAGGAACCGCCATACTGTTTTCCACAGTGGCCGCACCAGTTTGCGTTCCCACCAAACAGTGTGCGAAGGCTTCCTTTTCTCCGAGTCCTCCCCTACTTGTTTCCATTTGGTATGTTTTATATTTCTTTTGAAGCTCTGACTGTGGGTCATTGACTATTTTTGTAGCTAGCAAGTGTCATCGTTCTATGTGTTGGTAACAATGCAAAAACACCTGCTACTGACAGAGGGTAAAATAGGAAGAAAAGGGTAAAACAAAAAGATGAGAGAAAGAATCCCAGAGAACTGTGGGTAAGATGTGAGCCCATCTGCCGGCCCAGGAGCTGGGGGTTGGCCTGGTGGTTTCTGATCCTCAGGCTTTCTGTTTAGGTTTCATTCGTTCCCTCTTTTCTCTACTCCCAGTTATTCAGACCCCACATCAGTCCGAAGGTATTCTTTTTATTTTATGGTGGGCAACGAAATAGTGATTATTTCTCCAAAACGTCATCTGAGCCTCACATCTTGGCTTTGGCCTTCTGCATTTCATCTAGGCCTGTGTGAAAGGCATGTTGGAGCTGGTCTGGTCACAGGTACAAGGAGTTCTTCAGTGTCTTCCGTGAACACACTATTTCATTCATACAGTTGGTGTGAGATTTTTTTTTTCATTTAATTAGTTCTACTTCAATAGGATAGGATTTTTACAAGCATTGTTTTCCCAAGAACAAATAATAAAGTTTAAAGTGAAGTTTCCTCTTAAAGCAACTAACTTTTTAATTGCTTCAGTGGCTTTCATAACGCACCTTTGCTGGGGTGCCTGGGTGGCTCAGTTGATTAAGTATTTGACTCTTGATCTCAGCCCAGGTCTTGATCTCAGGGTCCTGAGTTTGAGTCCTGCCCAGTGTGGAGCCTACTTAAAACAAACAAACAAACAAACAAACAAACAAAAACACACCTTTATAAAATTATTATGCTCAAAGAACAAAAAACTACCTTGCTGTTATCCTTCTCTGATGTCAGGTGAAGACTTTTAAATAGTTGTTAATGGTATTTAGTTAGGGTACTAAACTTTAGGTCATACATCAAATCCGTACCTATTCATTTTTTCTTGTTACCAATTCAGCAATTTTAAATTTTAATGTAGTTGGAGCAGGAGAAAATCCACTTTGTCACCAAAGGTTTGCATTACAAACATGATTCTGCAGAGCATCTATTTTCTTTCTTGTTAAGGGGTGAATTCAATTGCACAAGTCCAGTGTATTTTATCTATTAAAAGTGTTAGCTCAGGAATTTCACTTGGGTCTATAAAGATACACATCTATGGTGATAACGAATGCAAACATAACATTCACCATTTGGCCTCTGATCTAATTCAGTTATTCCATCCTCTGGCTTGCAAAACAACTGGTTTTTGAGAGAAAAGTGAATCAAAGTTAATTTTCGGTTCCAATGATTCTTGACTGTTTTCTTCTGAGACTTAATACAGACTCGTTTTTTTAGAGTTAAAATAAATCAGGATGTACAACATAAACGTCATAGGAGACCAAACACTGAAAGTTTCTTTGAGGTGTCAGAAGGCGGCAACTTTTGCTTAAAGTTTACCCAGGTAAATTTTGTTTCTGGTTCTATGATTTCCTCAGCTTGTCCCTGTGAACAAGAGCAGTTCAAAACATAAAAATTGTGCCTGAATATTTGAGGCAGTGTGTGGTCTCCTATTAAAGCAGTCAGTTTACAATTTTGCTGGCTAGTTGGCTGCTTCCTGTTAGGCAAAAGAAGAATGCAACGTGTTAATTTGATCCAAAGCCTGTTTATGTGGTAGTTTTAATAATGTATATCTAAAGATGGAGAAGCAAGTTTTATGAGACCAGGCTTTCTTGTTAAGGCCCCACTCCACCCTATTCTAATTGAGACTGACCCTAAAATTGAATAAAGAACAAAGAGTTCTATAGTGAAAACTTCAGTACATGTTGCATCTTGCCCTTGGTGAAATAGGGAAATAGAGACACAGATGATCTGAATTAGAGGGTGCAGTATTTCCTCATCTTTTTTTTTTTTTTTGAGAATGGGAAACATTTTATAATAGTCCATATCATCTCCATAGTCTAAATTCAGGCGTAAGAATTTAGACTTCTATAAATGAACTTCTTCATAAAAACGTGCCAACATTTTTTAATTTGTGGAGTTTAATATTTTCCATATTAGAAACCAGACTTCTTTTGAGGGATAAAGAAATAGAGGTGACCCCTAAATCTTAGAGCAGAAACGTCTTGTGGGCAGTTGGCTGTATGTACCCAGAACTCAGAGAAGAGGGTTGGGCTGGGAGGACAACTCTGCAAGTCATCTCAGTTTATGACCGAGGAAGCCGGAGCCATGGAATAAATTCTCTTGTGGGAAAATTTGGAGTCATAAGAAGGGTCTGACACCGAGCCCTGTACTGCTCTAGCTTAATGTTGGGTGGAGGAAATCTGCAAATAACACTGGGAAGCCACAGCCTGAGGGGTGGAAAGAGCCCAGGGGAGTTCTGCATTATGGAAGCCAAGGGAAAAGCATGTGAGAGGAAGGGAGGAATTGTCGGATGCTCTGATAGGTCAAATAGGATCTGGGCTGGAAATATCTGTTGGCTTCAGCAATAGGGGTCATTTGATGGAAGGATTTAAGCAGCTCTTGTGGGGCAGCTAAGGTAGAAACCAGGCATGAGTTGAGCTAGGCAGGAGACGTGAGGAAAGAGCAGACCTCAAGTGTGTAGACCTTTCTGAGGAGCTGAACTGAGAAGAAGCGTGGGATGTAAGATGAAAGTCTGAGAGGGACGTGAGGTCCGGAGAGACCTTTTTTTGTGGGCACAGTTGCACGTGATGAACGTGAGTGAGAAAAGGCATTTGAGCAAGAAGGACGCAGTAAACAAGAAGTGAAAGAAAGAGTCTGATCAATAATAAAGCAATAGTAGCGACAACAGTGTTTTTTATAAGCCCCTGACAGGTGTTCTCCCATCAAATTCTTAGAATAGTGCCACATGGTGGGCTCCATTATTTTCTCCAGGTGAGAGAGGGGTGAGACCTAGAGATGTTAACGACCTGATGCATCATCCTCCAGCTAGTAATGAAGGACTAACTTATCGACCTGAGGACTGAACTTTGTTTCCATCCCAGCTCACCACCCCCAACTGGAATGTAGATGTTCGGGGCTGTGTTTAAATAGTTACCTAAAGGTTTTCTCATTTCTGTTTTAAGAAAGGCCACTTTAAAACTCTATGAAAGTTCTTAACAGTGTTGTTACAACAAGAATTTTAGCTCGTGGTGTGGGTCAAAGGAAAAAAAAAAAGCCTTATTTGCTGAGAAAAATGTGTGAGTGTAGATAGAGTCTTGTACCCCCAAGTATTAGCCATATGAACTGAAGGTGATTTGCCCAGAGAACTCTGGAAGCAGCTGGCTGAGGCAAAAATCAAGTCTAGGAGAGTTAAGCCTCCCCGCCACCCCCCTCCCAACTCCCCCCCACACACACTTGGAGAAGGACAGCGAAGGGATGGTATGAGGAGGTAGTAGCACAATCAGGCCAAGTAAGTGATAGGAAAACATCCCCCAGGTGGCTTCCCTAAAGCTTTGGACTGGCTACATTTCCTAAAATAATATTAATTTTGTCCTTCTGCTGTTCATAGGACATAATGACTACATGTGTCCAGCTACCAACCAGTGCACGATTGATAAGAACAGGAGGAAGAGCTGTCAGGCCTGCCGGCTCCGCAAGTGCTATGAAGTAGGCATGATGAAAGGCGGTAGGTACCTCCCCACCCCGCAGGGTGCCCGTGGGCAAAGGGTGTCCCTGTCTGGCCCCCAGTGCTGGCTGCTTCGGTCCCAACAACCGCGGCAGTGCAGTGTGTTCCCTTCTAATTAGTTGTTTATTCCTATTCCTATTTTTCTTTACGACAAAAGTATTTTTATAACATTTTTTTTTAATAGGAAGTACCTGGAACTGGAGATTCTAACATGCCATTTTGTGTTTTATATTTTGGATGTAAATACTTATATTTTAAATCAGAGGTGTGTGGGAGGTGGCGGTGGAAGGAAAGGAAGAAGAGTGCCCTGTGAATTATTCTAGAAATACTTTTCAGTGACTGTTTATATTGCTAATGCTAGAAAACAATGTCTGAGAAGAAGCTTTCCCTACATTGAGACTTGTAAATGTGAGAGATAAATAGCTTATTTATGATCTAACAATCTCTGAACATCCTTCAGGGAATTTGAATTTCAATCAAAAGGCAGCTTTTTCCTTTAGACGTTGAGGCAGCCGGTAGCTCCCATAACCTGAGCATCTGGCCTGGGGCTGGGACAGTGGAATGATTGTGGAGCGCTAGCAGATCAGGAGACGCTCAGGCTTTGTGCCCGCGTGCCTCCATCTTTGTGGCTGCCTGCATGTGTGCGTGCACGAGTACGTGCGCGTGCGTGCGCGTGCATGAGCGCATGCGTGAATAGGTGTGGTTTTCTGTCTACTCACATATCCAGTTTTCCAGTTTTCTTTTAGGGAAATCCAGTGTCTGGTTCTGAGGTTATTGCCTGCTCTGTAGGTGTGGTTGCCTGACCTTGTATTCTTGGGCATCTAGTCTTGAGGAATAAGATGCCAGTCATGGGTAGCTTCCAAAATACTGGGAGAGAACAAACAGAAAATGTGTAACTAAAGTCATGGTGCTTTCAGTGTTTTAGGAGGGTACAAAGGGGAGAGGGGAACCTAGGATTGTGTTATATTGCCTGCTGACTCTAAAAGGGGAAGAGCTTTTTGAAGGAGATGGGGAATGAACATGAGTTAAGAAGGGGGTTACAATGAAAAAAAAATGGCGGTTGTGCAGGTGGAGGGCAGCTAGCCTTTAGCTTGGTAATACTTCGCTGAAAGGGGAAGCGGAAGGAAAACCAATAACCTGGTTGGAAGGAAGTTTACAGTCGAAGATTCCTGAGTTCTGTGATCACAGATAAGCCTGCAGGGTGGGATTTTAAATACAGCATTTGGAATAAATTCTCTTGATGAACAGACGAAATATTGAATTTACTCATTGTGTGAGCTGTGACTATATGTCTTGGATGTCTGAAAAAGCAGCTTTAACTTGAAGGGTAATTAATTCCAAGAATTTAACAGCCACATTCAGAAAATGACACTTAGAGTCATAAATGGATTAAATATTTAAGGAATTCATTTTTCTTTGTGCAGTTAGAGAATTAGTCAGGCTTACTTAAACTCACAAAAAGCTTCTTAAGGTAACCTGAAAAGTGACAGGAATATAACAGCTGCATGTAAAAAGTTTAGTATGAACCAGCAGAGTCCGAGTTTAATGTGCTTCTTTGATGACTGCAAGTAGTTTAAGCCCAGCCTCTTAGGTTCTATCTGAAAGCTGAAATAATCAACTCATGAATATGTCCAAAACATTTTTTCCTTTGAGGGTACCCATACACTGACCCCACTTCATAAAAAGAATTCTGTTTTTGTTTTTTTTTAAAGATTTTGTTTGTTTATTTGAGAGAAAGAGAGATCACAAGTAGGCAGAGAGGCAGGCAGAGAGAGGGGAAGCAGGCTCCACGCTGAGCAGAGAGCCCGATGAGGGGCTTAATGCAGGTCTAGATCCCTGGACCCCGAGACCATGACCCGAGCCAAAGGCAGAGGCTTAACCCACTGAGCCACCCAGGTGCCCTCAAAAGAATTCTGTTTTTCCTAATTTATATTCAAATAAAGTCTGGCTGCATAAATATAAATTATGCATACTTGTTTTTAATCTAATAAAAATTTTAATATGCAGAGGCAAAATGAGAGTCTTCCCACTGTTTTTAAATAGAACTCTAGATAATCTGACTACACCCAGGCAGTCTGTGTGTACATGCATATACTTGTATAAGCGTATTTATGACTAAAATATATATCTGTGTTAGTTTGCTGCCGTATCAGTCTGCTTGGCCTGCCATAACAAAGGCTACAGCCTGGGGGGCTTGAATAACAGAAATTAATTTTCTCACAGTTCTGGAGGCTCAAAGTGCAAGACGAAGGGGTTGGAAAATCCAGTTTCTGGTAAGACGTGTCTTCCAGGCTTTTACATAACTGCTTTTTCAGTGTGTCCTTTTCTCTGTGGGCACAGACATAGAGGGAGCATTCTCTGGTGTGTGTCTCTTCTTACAAAGGTGTTGGTCCTATTGGATTAGGATCCCACCTTTATGACCTTGTTTAACCTTTAATACTTTCATGGAGGCCTTATCTTCAAATACAGTCACACTACTTGGCTTCAACATGGGAATTTGGGTGGGAAATAATTTAGTCTATAACAGCTGCTGTATTAAAATACTATAGATTGGGGGGCTTAACCCACAGAAATTTATTTTCTCACAATTCTGGAGACTGGGAAGTCCAAGGTCAGGGTGTCAGCAGGTTTGGTCTCATCTGACGGTCTTCTCCTTGGCTTACAGATGGTCACCTTCTTACTGTGTCCCCACATGGCCTTTTTTTTTTTTTTCTGTACTCACACATCCTTGGTATTTTTTCTTTTTCTTCTAAGGTCACCAGTCCTGTTGGAATAGGGCCCCACCTATGTGACCTTGTTTGATCTTTCTTATCTCTTTAAAGACCCTGTGTCCAAATAAAATCATATTCTAAGGTACTGGGATTAGGCTTCAACACGAATTTTGAGGGGAACAAAATTCAGGACATACCAGTACCTCATAAAGACTTCTCAGTGGTTATTCAGTATCTGTCTACGTATAATAAGAGCATGTGTCTTTCTGGCTGTTTATATATGTGTGTGTAAGTTTTATGCCAAGCTTTAAAGTTGTAAAATTATAGGCTGTGCAAACATCTCATTTTAATTATATGTATAAAGCATTTACCCTTAACACAATGTAATTTATTACATTTTCTACAACATGAAATACCACATATAACCTCATGACACTTTGTATAACAACTCTCCAAATCCCACTGAATAAAGACTTAATTTACAATTGGAAGTACAAATATAACTATAAAGTTTGAAATTACTTTGTAAAAACAGCTGTGACTAAATAAATCTTTATAACATTTCCTACTGGTTTCATAAGAATCCAGTTCCTTTCTTTTTTTTAAATTTTATTTTACTTTTTTTTTTTTTAAGATTTTTATTTATTTATTTATTTGACAGAGAGAGATCACAGGTAGGCAGAGAGGCAAGCAGAGAGAGAGGAAGGGCGGGGGGAAGCAGGCTCCCTGCTGAGCAGAGAGCCTGATGCGGGACTCGATCCCAGGACCCTGAGATCATGACCTGAGCCGAAGGCAGCGGCTTAACCCACTGAGCCACCCAGGCGCCCCTTTATTTTACTTTTTTAGTGTAAGAATCTACTTTCTTAGCCAGGCTGGATAGCAATTAGATTAGTGAATCTCTACCTATAACATCAAATGATTAGTTTCAGATTAAAGAGAGAACCATATACCTATATTCCCTATTTTTATAGCAAGACCGAGTAAATTTACTGAATGTTCTAAAGATCTGAAAGAGTACATGACTTATCTACATGAAGAAATTATTTGAATCTGTTTCGATGCCTATATTACACTGAAAATCACAACATCATTATTAGATTTGGTTCTGAGCCCTGGTAGTTCCGTAAGATACAGGATTTAAGTGCTCTGGAGAATGCATTTCCTGATTGTAGCACATGTGCCGGCCTTTCTGCCTCAGCTGCATTTTCCTCCCCAACCGCAGATTCCTGTCTTTTCTTCGGGGAGGCTATGTTGGTTCCCAGTGTTCTACCTTTCACAGCACTCAGTTCTTCTCAGCTTTCCATAATTATTACTGTTAGCTATTCAGCAACTGTCCATAAACTCCCATGATGGCAGGGACTCTCTCTGTCTTGTTTACTGAGCTAGCACTAAACAAGTCACAAAACAAGTGTTCAAAACTTTTTTCTTTCTTTCTTCTTTTTTTTTTTTTTTTGCATGAAGTGATGATTTACTTCATTTAATTAGTTATTTGTGTATGTCTTACACGTGAGCTATTATGGAGCAACATGAATAAGACCTGGTCCCTTCCATCACTGTCCTCATGGTACAAAAAGGACATTTGCATATGAAAAGTCCAGAAGACAAGTTGAGAGTGGTTGGAAGATGAAGATGATAATGAAAGATGAATGACCGAGGGAAGTTCAGAGCTTTAACCAACCACTTCCGGGTTAGTCCAACCCAGGATATTACTCAGACTATCTGATTCCCAAGGCATGTATGTGTGTGTGTATATGTATGTGTGTGTGTGTGTATATATCTCCCATATGTATATGTATGTATATGTATACATATATATGTCCATATATACATATATGTATATATATGTCTATATATATATACGCACACACATATATATTTATATTTAAGATTTATTTATTTTAAAGAGGGGATGGGCAGATGGAGAGGAAGAGAAACCCACAAGCAGACTCCCTGCTGAGCACAGAACCTGACATGGGGCATGATCCCAGGACCCTGAGATTATGACCTGAGCCAAAATCAAAGGGTTGGATGCTTAACCAAATGAGCCACCCAGGTGCCCCCAGGTGTACATTGTTATCAAAGAATCTGCTGTTCTAGTTTGGTTTGGTGCAAAGGGGGAAGACTTCAGAGGTGGAATTCTTGGTACAAATACTGCTCCTTCTCAGACTTGCTGAGCAATCCTGTTATAGTCACTTTTATGAGCTTCATTATCCTCAGATGTGAAATAAAAATAAATAAATTCTACTTAACAAGTTTGTTACAAAAGTTGTAATTCATAACATATAAAAG